GCTGTGCTTTAAAAGGCTGGAAAATCTGACTACACTTTGACATTGGTATGTGGTAGCCTCACTGTTCTCTGAAAACTTTCCGATGGTAGAAGGTTCACACCCAGCTCTGCCGAGGCCTACTGTCATTGCCTGCCAGAGAACTGATGCATCTGGTTTTGCAACCTTGGGACCAGGAAATTGGATTTGGCCCAGAATTTGTTAGATGACTTCAGATTTTTAGGTGTTTTTCTCCCCTCTTTGATTAACATTTCAGCCTAATCAAAAAATCTCAAAACTCATATATATCCTAAAAAAGCAATAAACCAAATCAAATAAATGACTTGAACGTTGAAATAATAATGCAATGCTGCCCTCTTATCAGCACTGTAGTCTTTACCTGAGGATAGGCCTTTCTCTTCCCGCAAGCTGTTTTTGTAAGTAATGCTGCCACCTAGCCGTCTTCTGGCAAATCACCGTACTAATAGGTGGGAAAGGAGTTTTAGGCACATTTTAGCTTCGTCCAGGATTCACTGTTTTTGAGTTGAACTCAAACAAAACTTGAAATGTAAATTTAATTACCTTGGAAAAATACCTTTCCTGCAGATATGGGTCTCAAAACCATTATCTGGCGAACAACAGACTTTTGCAAGCAATTCAGTTGAGATTCAGTTGATGGCAAAAGGTAAGACACCCTCTTTGTAGGACTTCAGTACATTTGTAACTAAATACAAACCTCCATGGGTCTCTCCTTAGGGAAAATAGATCAACATTTTTGTTGAAAGTGGGTAAAAATAAAGTGCGGGTGATCAGTCTCAAAGAGGAACAGCTTTTTGACCAGAGGACCTTTAAACTCAAGGAATCATAAATGTCCAATGCAAACGTAAATGACATTTTAATTCATATCAGGAGCTTGACTTACAAACTAAGCCAAAGTTGCTTCTTTAAAAAGATGACTAAGATCCAGAGACCCGCTGTACAACATTGTACTTATAGTCAACAGTACCGTATGGTACACTTAAAAATTTAAGAGGGTCGATCTCATGTTGTATTCTTACCACAATAAAATAAAATTAAATAAAAATTAAATAAAATAGAAAAAAATGAAAAACTAATATATTTTGTGTTTTCACAAAGGTAAACAAAAAAAATCTAATATTTATTGAGCGTTTGTCATTTGCCCAAACACTGAGCAAAGCACTTTCCTGGCACCGTGTTCCCTGTAGAACTCTCTAAGAAGGTATTACAGTAATTAATACTATTAATACAGGAGGAACTGAGCCTTGAGGACCATAACAGGACAAGTGTTGGATGGGGATATGAACCCAGATGGTCTGGTTTCAGAACCAGGGTACATCATACCCTCAGGAGATGACTTGGTCAAACATTTCTCTGAAGACAATCTGAATATGCATGTGGCTCATGCTCTGCTACCACTGCTTCTCAGACTTTCAGGTGCATTTAAATCACCTAGGAATCTTGTTAAAATGACCTGAGATCCTGCATTTTTAACAACCTCTCAGGTGAAGCTGATGGTGCTAGTCCATGGACCGTGAGTACTAAGGTGCTCAAGACTACTCAGTTTTTCTTGGGTGTGGGGAGAAAATCTAGTTTATTTCCAAAGTCAAGGGGGAAAAAAACCCTCCCCATTATTTTCTCATTTTTCCTGTTTTTACGTATCTGATCATAAAAATCAGGTTATAAACCAAGTTATGTGTTTTTTATGTTTTTTTAAAGATTTTATTTATTTAAGAGAGAGCACAATCAGGGGGAGCATGAGCAGAGGGAGGGAAGGGGCAAAGGGAGAGGGGGACAGAAGGGGGCAGGAAGGGCAGAGGGAGAGGGGGGAGGGGAAGAGGGGGAAGCAGGCTCCCTGCTCATCCTGGGGGCTCATCCTAGGACCCTGGGATCATAACCTGAGCCAAAGGCAGATGACGCTTAACTGCTAAACCGACTAAGCCACCCAGATGCCCCATGTGTTTTTAGGTTTATAAACAAAGGTATCTATAAGAGCTATTTTAAAAATAAAATTCCTTTAGGCCCTAAGTCCATTGGTTCAATTTTTTTTTTCTTGGATTCAAACTCTTTGCAATTTTTACCCCTACTATAAATGAGATCATGGAGAGTCATATCTGAAACTTCTAGAATCATCTGGTTACCAGAGAGCTGCCCAACCTCCAATCCCATCTTGGGGCAGGCAGGTATAAGACTCCTTTAGTCAGTATAAATTAAATCTAGAACTCTGGACATTAAAAGGACCAAAATCAAACTTTAGAATTGCTCTGGAAATAGCTCCTTGACCCAGTGGTTCTATTTTAACAAGAGCCAATTGGGGAATTTCCTAGATTTATTCAGGTACCTTTGTCTCTTTCAGGTACCTTTGTCTCTATGTTCTTTCTCTTATTGTCAGCATCACTCATTTTTGCTCTAACAAGGAGATATATAGCACATATAACAGAGCCAAATATAAAACTGCTATACTTGGTTCCCAAGATCAAATTGCATAAGAGTGAAACAAATGAGACAGAGTAATAAATTGGCCATTTTCAAAAGAAACAAATTTCATTGCCTACCTACTCAATATAAGTGACCAGAATAGTGTCATTCAGTCTAGGAATGCATTGATAGGAGAATAGTGCCTAGGACAAAGGAGGTAATGGGCTTCCTCTAGTTTGCATTGGCAAAGCCATACTTGGGGTACTATGGTGTTTAGATGTGTGTGTACACAGGTGTGTGTGTGTGTGTGTCAGCAAAAGTATGGGAGGGCAAAAAGAAGAGCAGTCATGATTTAGGAGAAACAATGAAAAAGACCCAACAGATAAGTGATGGAAAGAAGTTGAGAGAACTTCAAACTGTGTTGTAAGTTAAAGGACCTAGAGATATTTACCTTTGAAGTGTGTACATGAGGGTTTTAGAGTGGAAATTAGTTAAGACATGGTTGATAATGGATGGATGGACAGACCAATGGATAGATGGATGAATGGACAAACAGACATGCTATCTATTGAATATATTATATGTGTCAGGCACTCTACCAAGAACTCTACATGTACTGTATGATTTCATTCTCCAAACAATCCTTTAAAATTAGTATTATCCCCATGTGAAAACTGGTAAATATAAGGCATAGATAAATTAAGTGACCTGTCCAAAGTCATTGACCGGGTGACTCCATAGTTTGTGCTCTTAACCTCTAGTTAATAACCCTGTGTGACAGCCACAGACTTTCACTGCTCAGATCTCCCTTAAAGAAATAACTTGCTGGCCAGCCATGAGAAGTACAGTTGGCTGACAGCCTCCAGCTGTTAACATCCCCAGGATCTGCTTGCACGTTCTACCAGAAACCATGCTATTTCTGAGAAACCCCAACGACTGAGCATGGCAGGGGTGGTAGGACCTGGATATTTCCGCCCATTGTGGGGCTCCTCTAATAGTCTTTCCTCAGGATATCCCCATTAAGTTGTCACAGACTTTGTGGGATCAGTACTGCAGTCTGAGGCTCTCCCTGCCCACCTGTGTTCCTCCCCCCTTTATCTATGACAGGATTCATTCTGAAAACAACGACAACAAAAGAAATTTCTTTTACTCGAAAATCCATCTCAGCATTTGCTTCCTGAGGGACCCAAGTGGCACACACTGTGTCTTCAAATATTTGGGGTGTTATCATATGAAAGAGCATTTACAATTGTTTTCATATGGTGATAAGGGGTTAAATTAGGAGAAACTGACTGAACTATTAAGGAAGCAGCTTTAACATATGCACACAGGACAACTTTCTAACAACTAGACCTGTGCAAACATTGGGATCGGCTGCCTCAATACTGATGAGTTTTCTGTCACTGCAGTCATTCAGGCCAAGAGGAGAACTGCTTGTTGTAAAGCTGTGTGACATCACCACAACCCCCATCACATACACTGTGGAGCATCGAGATGCTAAACATCCACAGTGCTAGGTGAGTAACAAAAATCAAATTGTTTAGGAAGCCACACCAGGAAGCCCAAACCTCTGATTTTTTAGTGGCTCAGTGGGTCTGCTTTCATATATCCATACCCGGATACTCCCAGGACAGCCCAGTGGTACTCCAGGCCAAACCACCCACTGTCCACATACTTTACTTCTTTTTTTTTTAATCAAAGAGCTCCTAGCAAGGGAGTTAAGGCTATGGTCTCATTGTCCTCACGGGCTATTTTGCAGGATCAAAGCCAAACTGCCCATATGCTTTGTTAAACAAAATATAATGTTGACTTTAGTATCTGATGAAATTTTCATGACACCCTCCACTGACACCTGGTTTTCGAGCTTGAGAACCTGCATCCCAGAGACGGAAAGATTCTCTTCCTCAAAGCTGTTGCCTCCCTTCCTTCATCAAGACACAGGCACACTAATGAAGAGACACACACTTGCCCCTTCCAGGATTTCCACAGTGGTCAAATTACATACGTAATTATAGATTTCAGATAATGAAATAAAAGGTGGGAAAGTCTGGTAGAAAAACAGTAACATAGTCAGCATGGGAATCTGTACATAAGGAGACATTCATTAGATCTGCAAATATTTACTGAGCACCTGCCAAAGGCTAGACTTTCTTACAGGGCCAGGGGCACAAGGATGTGCTCGACAGAGTCCCTCGTTTCCTAGATCACTTATTCAAATGTCATTGAGAAAGCCTGCTGACCCTTCACTGAGAGAAGCAATCAAAGCCATGATCCCAGAGAGTGATCCTAAAGAGAGTGCTGTGGAACCGCCAGTCTGATGTCTTTTCCCTCTCTCTCCACCCCCAAATTTCCGCAGCATCCATACCGTTTAGAGTCTACATTTTCAAGAACTATTTCATTATACTTACAGTGCTCTGGAGCCAATTCATAAAATTTGCAAGGGGAGTTCAAAAAAAAGCAAGCTCAGCAGTATTTGGGGACTTTTAAAAATGATGACACAGCTAACCTATTGGAGACAAAGACAGTGGGAGGGCCCTCACTGGCCTAAATAAATATGAGTCTCTGTGCTCAGAAACCAGAGTTTAGACCCAGAGCTGAAGTCTGAACTCCACCTTGAGGCAGAATGAGGTTCACCCTGGGATCTCTGCTGCTCATGTTGCTGGTCTGCAGCCTCCCTCCAGTCCATGGTGAGGACTTTCACGTATCTTATCATTGTGCTTTGTGCAGAAATAGTCTTCAGCCATTTCTTTCTTTCTTTTTAATTAGAAAATGGGGAGCAATATGACTGGTGGGGGGGAGACTACTCAGTTGCTTCTAGATTTCTAAAAGTAATGTGCTTAGAGATTTAGAGGCTAGAAGCATGGATGTTGTTAAGATTCTTATCTATAGATGGAGATACTGAAGTCCAGCATCCGTGTGACTTATACTGGTTTGTCTATTCCTGGTCTTTTTTGGATTCAGCTCTGCTATAACTAATTCTTCCCATGTATATCTTCTTTCCTCTGCCTTTCAACGATACCCCTCCTGACTATACTTTTTATAGGGTTTAAAGATAATTGACCTCAACAGGTTGGTCTCCTGAAGGGAATGTTTTGTGTAATTCTATATGGCTAGCTCTGACATGAACCATTGTAAGCACAACACGGGTACTTAAGTACATGCTTTCTACAAAGAAACAAGAGTTCCAAGTCCAAATGGGGTGACTATGTTTGTGTAAATAGATAAATATCTAGTTGAAGTTGTAAGTTTTTATACAGCTGAAGAAGTCCAAAGCATGTGCAGAATGATATACTCTGCTCAGGTGTAAAGACGAATTTTTGTTCTTAAAGTGCATGGAATGTTTTTCAATTATTTTGCTTCACATGCTATTTTTATTCTTCAAGAACTTCATCTCTCTCTTCCTCCATAAAGCTTTCCCATTGCCCTGGCAAGGTCCTCTGTTCTCATCATGCAGTTTGGATCTTGGGTGTGAAATACAACATTCTGTGACATTTTAGTCTTTGTCCATTGGTTTCCTCCACCAAATTGTAAATGCCTTGAGAGCCAGGTCCCTTTTATTTGAAATACATGTCAAGCATGGTGGTAGGCACTGGGTTTAAAGAGGGTAGAATTCATTAAAATACATGAGATAGATTACTTATAAAAGTATTTAGTGCTAATCACCAGTGTTGTTGAATAAAAATAATCTTGAATTTTTATTATTGGCCTTTGGTTGGTAACCATTTGCAACTGATCGGGAGGACCAACATATTACATAAAAACAAAAAATATCTTCCGTGGTATTTCCTTGGAGAGACAAAGGGGAGAGAGTGGTTTGAACATGATAAGAACAATCCTGTTACAGCTTATTATTGCTCTGGGGACACTGTAAGGAATTCATATCTTCGGTTTTTATGTGTTTGGAGGGAAGATCAGTTGACTTTACACTGTATTAATTATAACTGAGTTTTAAGTCCCCAGAGTGGAGGTTCTCAAATTTTATTATCTAGACAATCACCTGAGCACCAATGTAACACTATCACAAATTTCAATAGGTGTGTTTTTAGAAAGCTGATTTTATTTTTAAGGTTTTGGTAGAAAATGTTTGAAAATAAGCCAAGACAAGCAGAAATACACAAACTAAAAGCATCTGGGTGAAAGCGCCGACTTGAAATTTTTAAATCTTCAAATGCACTGTATGAAAGATTAGTAATTAAATTCAAGTTATGCATTATATGCCAGGCAATTAAAATAACTGATTGTGTTTACAGGTGTTCTGGAAGCCTACAATACAAACTTAAAGTGTAAATGCATCCAAGAGACTTCAGCCATTATCCCGATCCACCACATTGACAAGCTTCAGATCTTCCCTCCTGGGAATGGGTGCCCAAACAAAGAAGTCATGTAAGTTGCAGAAGAAAAATTTATGTGATTCTTTTCTCCCCATGAAAATCAGATCAAATGTTGCCATATAGTATTTTTTTAGTATTGTTGACATACAATGTTGCATTCATTTCAGGTATACAACATAGTGTTCTTATTCAAGAATCTCAGTGATTTCCTTTGAGAGTTGCTAACAATTCTCAAGCTAATAATGAGACTCAGTAATATTTGTTAAGTACCTATTTTGCCTCTGCCCTGAGCTAAGGGCTTCATGCACATTCACTCATCTTTAACAGCCTTATTAAGTTATGTCTACTGTTATAACTCCTCTACAGATGCAGAAACTGAGGCTTAGGGAGGTTAACTAACTGACCTGAGGCATACCACTAGAAAGGGACAGAACCAGTACTCCACCCAGGTGTTCCCCCACCAAGCCTCTTCTCTCCTCCACCAAATTCAAATTGTCAGCAGAAGCAGACACTTTGCTCCCCAGAAGTGAAAGAGCAAGAAAATAAGTTTTCACAACAGTCCGTGGTCCGAACATCTGTTTTATGGAACTGTCCTTTAGCTTTAAGATCAACTTTGAAGAGTTAGGCTAAGGGGACAATACTGGCTACAAGAAATTCAATGGGTATTTTCTTTTACTGAAATGTTTCTGTGACCCTTCCTTTTCAGTGCTTTCAGAGAAATCTGTTCATACTTCTGTCATAGCATTTTCCATGGCACATCAAATGAGAATTTTCACATTGCATATAAAGCTCCTTATATAGTACCTGGCACAGTAATAAATGTAATAAATGTTCAGTGAATGTTAGCTGTGATTATTATAGCATCGCTGTGTTGAAACAATCAGGTTTGTGGTGCTCTCTCTTTCTCTCTCTCTCTCTTTCACTCCCACCAGAAAATAAGTTCTCTCTAAAGAAGGTTCAGATTTATTTGTTTCTCTTCTCCCAATGCTTTATCCCTTACCTGGCATAGAATAGAGGTACAACCAATGTTGCATTGTTACACTTAATATTTTAAATAAAGCCTATAGATCTTTTGTGTATCACTACTTGGAACTTTGATTTCTCCTTCTTTGATCTATTTTTATGAACCAAGCACCCACAATACCTTGAAGTATTAGGTATAGTATCTTTCTCAAGGCATCCCTGACATCATTTTCGTTAGCAGCCCTTCCCTTGGACTTCTTTAGGCTTTTGATATGTTTGTAAGCAGCTACTTTTTGTTTGTCCCATTTTGCCATGTGCTTTGGGTCTCTCTCACACTAGTTGAATTCAACTTGCAAAAAAGAAATATGGGATATTAAAAATATGTACGAAAATTTTTCATTAAAAAGGCATTGTACTTTCCCTAATGTCTTCACCAATGAAGGTTCTACCTAAACCACGATTATTGTCCTCAAACTCAGAGATGTCAGTGAGCACTCGGTGGTATACACAACTGATGAATTGTTTAACACTACATCTGAAACTAATGATGTACTATATGTTGGCCAATTTAATTTAAATTAAAAAAAAAAAACTCAGAGATGTCAAGTCTAACCATGACCTATTTGGGAGCAGTTCCTCTGGCTGTGTAAAAAACTGAGACTTTCTCTGTCTCTCTTTTTAAATTACATTCCCTCTACTGTGCGTCATCTCTCACCTCTCAACCTGAGGAAGTAATGCACCCTAATTTTCTCTTTGTTAACTTCAATCATTTTGAAGTGACAAGAACTGGATTTTTTATCTTCTCCCCAAATTTCTGTTTCTGAATTTTAACCAGGTATAGAAACAAAAGCTGGAAATTATGAGAAATTCATAGCAATCGGGATAAAAATACTATGAGTCCAAATGGTCAGAAATCTATTTTCCATCATGAACTCAGAAACCAAATTGGAAGGTTCTGCCCAAGAACCCAACAGTGCTATGACCTCAGACCTCTTTAAGATTCATTTACAAGGGTAGTTTCAAAGCTAGATGGATGGATCCTTGCTATCTGTTATTTCATAACTATGGTAAATGTGAAGAAATTGTTTTGTTCAAAGTCCACCCCAATAGAGAGTTGAGTGTCCCAGGGAACCTCATGTCTTCCATTGCACATAAAACATCTGACACTGTGTCTGGCACTTGATAACCATTCAGATCCTGCCCACGTAGAGTAGTGGCTATCTAGAGGCAGATAACCTTCATTTGGATGCTGCTCTATCATTGCATTTGTTGTGCAGTCCTAGACAAGTTATTTAAACTCTGTAAGCCTCAAGTTCCTCATCTGAATGTAAGGAAATAATAGTTCTCTAGCATAGGATTTGTGTGAGATTGAGATAATTCATGCTACCTGCTGAGCATAGTGATTGACACTTTGTAAGTGCTTGATCAGTATTAGCTAGTAATTATTATTGCTGCTTTTGTTGTTGAATCTCTTAAAGCAGTGAAAACCTCAATAGAGGTTCAACAAAATGCAGATGTCACTCTCCCACATTAAATTTCATTGAATTTTTTTTCAAATAAAATTTTCTCAAGAGAGTGTTCTCTAGAGTTTATTTTGTTCTCCCAAGCTCAATGGACAAATACATTTTAAAGCTATTGTGATACAGATTTCGAAGTGAGCCAATCTTGTAGGCAGCTATTTGGTCTACTTCCAATTCATGTAAAGACTGTCAGCAAAGCATTAACCCCTGACACTTGAGATTCTATAAACTTCATCTTCAGCTTTACTGGCTGACACATGACCATTCTGCAAATGTTTTCCTCATTCCTCAGACCTCACACTACAAATCACCTACTTCAGATCCTACACTCCCCACCTCCAATTTCACTTCATCCAGGAATATTTTTTTTAAAGATTTTATTTATTTATTTGAGAGAGAGAGAATGAGAGATAGAGAGCACAGAGGGAAGAGGGTCAGAGGGAGAAGAAGACTCCCTGCCGAGCAGGGAGCCCGATGTGGGACTCGATCCCGGGACTCCAGGATCATGACCTGAGCCGAAGGCAGTCGCTTAACCAACTGAGCCACCCAGGCGCCCATCCAGGAATATTTTTATACTCAACTCTTCTTAAGTGCAGGATTGACTAAAATGTAACACTGCTTTATTTTTATTTTTGTTTCCTTTCCCCCAGAATTTGGAAAAAGAATAAGTCAGTCCTATGCTTGAAGCCTAACTTGAAATGGACACAGAGCTTAATAAAAATATTGCAGAGGTAAGTCAGGCATACCAAGGGTTTCCAGATTCCAATTTGTACTGAAGGGTTTCCCTTTATTGGGAAATCAAAATGGAGACCATTTTAAATTTATGAAACATTCCTAAGACAAATACCTATTCTTCGCTATTATTACTTTTCAAATGAGTGAGGGTGACTGATTTCAGTAGCTCAATAAACTAAATTGGAAGCCAGTATGTACAATATTCCTTGTTTGACATCTTTAACGGAAAGCCAGTTTCTAGTAAGTCTCTAAACACGACTCCCTTGTTTTTGTTTTTATTATAGAAAAAATGCTTCTTCAACTCGACCAGCTTCAGTGCTTAAGAGAAAGATCAAGTGATGCCAATATTCCTACTAAGGACACCTGTATTCCCCCTGAATCTGCTCTGGGTTTTAGTTTTGTATTTGGATGAACCTTTCCGAGAAAAAGAACTTCTCCATATGAGCAAGCATGAAAATAGATGTAAAATAACCCTCAGCAGCTTATGGGGCCAAGTTGGGCTTTTTGAAAAACATGGTACCCTCTATACTTGGGCTTTTCATTCTCATTCATCACAGAGGAAAGTTTCTTTGAGGGTAGTTACTTAGTAATAAATCACATAGGTTTCTTTTAATAGTATATCTATTGCTTAGTGCTAAATTTTCCCAGAAAATAAGGGAATAAGAATTTAAACCTCAAACCTGAACATGTGGCTTGAGTTAAGAAGGAAATGATGGAATTCACTTCAATCATTTTACACTGTAAGAAAAGCAGGCTTCCATAAGAGACTTGAAACCTGCCTGGGAAACCCATGGAACTTTATGAGACAGAGGGCTCTCATAGTTGATACCTTCCATTTAAAAGCTCAGTATTAAGAGAAATGGGGTCCTACTTTTAAGAGTTCTTTTATGAGATTTACTGTCATATGCAAAAACTAGTAACATTCAACGATCCCCAGACTTAAACTCATAGAATATTCAGGAAAAGCATTTAAAAGCCGATGTTCAGATATACTCTTTCATACATTTGCTTTGATGAACTTTTTTTACTCACATCTTTTGCACAGACTTTTTTTTTTATTGATCTCTGGTATCTGATTCTTTAATGCTTCTTATGAATCTAATGTTATTCAATAAACTTGAGTAAACATTTTACTTAATTATGAGCAACTCATTCTTAACAGAGCATTTGCTCAAATTTAGACATTCTCTGACTCATCACAATGAAAAGTAGGATTTCATCATATTAATTTTTATTTGCATGATGCTTGCCTATTACAGAAGATCTAAATTATGTGGCAATGGGTGAGTGAAGTTGTTCCTGATATTAACACAGTGAGAAAATGCTTGCCTGTGAGACCCTCTTTTCCTTGATATACTCATCATTATTTCCTCCAGAAATCTCCAAACTTTTACCAAAACCTATTTTCACTGTCTCATTATATTGATTCTTAAAATCTCCAATATTTCCTTTGACAAAGTTTTGCGCTGGGTTTGACAAACAGAAGAAGATCCTTAAACTCCCCTTCCCTCCTTCCCTGGATGCAGCCTGGCTCTCCCAGTGGGCTGAGCTTCCCTGTCCTAGAGCCCCTCACTCCCCTTGCCGCTTTGGGGGTCCCATTCCAGCATGCCCAGGTTTGAAGCTATATCTGGCTCCTGCTTTCATTTTTCTCTTTTTATTTTTTTATTTACGTTTACTAAATAGATTTCTTGGATGGAAGTAAAGAGAACCTATGCATCCTACACTTTCTGTTGTCTACAATTCAGTGTTATTTCTTTATCACACACACAAGGGATTATAAAATGCCATCAAAATCCTGTATTCTAGCATTTTTCAGATTTCTACTTTTAGAGTTCAGGAATCATATCACTCTTTAGTTTTATTTTGGTCTTCTTTGAGAATGCAGCTAGATGAATATTCAGGATCCTCAAATAAGAAATATCACCATTTCATATGAGGCAGGTACTGTTATCTTGATAGCCACTAAGAGCCCTCATTTTACAGAGGTAGAATTTGTTGGTTACACAGGGGTTAAGTAACTTGCTCAAGGCCATACAGCTACTAAACAACAAACCAAAATTCAAACCCAGGCAGAGTTCACGCTTCTAATCACCACACTATGCTGACCTATATGGAGTAGACATCACCAGCTGCATTTTATAGAGCAGAAGCTGAGGCAATAAGACATTTACTTGCCCCAAATCACATAACTAGTAAGAGACAAAATCAGAATTCAAACCCAGGGCCTCCTGACTCCTAAGCAAATGGTCTTAATCATGACACCATACTGCCTAAAGTTTGCTTATCCCTAAATGTATTTCTTACCTCAGCCCTTTTGTCCACCATCCTTTTCAGGGCCAAAGTCTGAGAAGGTTCAAGCCACTCTTGGTTGAAAGGGCAACATGAAGACAGTGGGCAAATGTGGGATGAAGAACAAAACAACAGGGCCAGGGAGGGTTCCCAAACTTGTTTTTCTTGCCATACAAGTACCTGCTTCTCAAAGTCACAGTAGATTTAGAGGTATTGAGCCTGATTTGGGACAGGGATCTTAACCCACAGTTAAATGCAGGATGACTTGTTGAGTCAGTTAATGGAGTGTCTGAGGAAAAGTGATCATTAGCTGATCTGAGCGGGTTTGGGTTCAAGAAGGGAGAATACTGAAACAGTAAGAGACTTTAGGTAATTCATGGCCACATACTTACAAACATACACATACATATTAATTAAAATCCAAAGTAAAATAGAACTGAAGAGAAAAAAACAAGATAATGCTGACCAAAGCAGGGTGTTCAACTCTGGGAAATGGAATGCAGGATCTAGAGGGCCAAGCTACACAGGGAGCTCTTAGTAGCAGAATTCAGGGACCCTCTAACAAAGTGAGTTGAGTCTCAGTTGCTCCGTTCACAACTATCTGACAGTAGAGGCCCAGGGAGGAAAAGATTCTTTCTCAAAGGTAATCCTAGTCATGAGGGCTCCACCATGACTCTGCCTGATGCTAATTAACCCCCAGAGGCCCCACCTCTTAATACACTGAAGGGTAGAGTTTCAACATATGAATTTTGGGGAGACACAAACAGTTCATTACAGTCCCAGGCCCTGTTCTGTTTTTATAATTTTGCCTTTTTCCAGAAGGTCGTATAAGTGGACTTATACAATATGCATCCTTTTTGACTGGCTACTTTCGCTTTGCATAAGATTTTTTTATTATTTTAATTAACATATAATGTATTATTTGTTTCAGGGGTACAGGTCTGTGATTCACCAGTCTTACACAATTCACAGCACTCACCATAGCACATACCCTCCCCAATGTCCATCACCCAGCCATACCATCCCTCCCACCTCCCTTCACTCCAGCAACCCTCAGTTTGTTTCCTGAAATTAAGAGCCCCTTATGGTTTGTCTCCCTCCCTGGTTTCCTCTTGTTTCATTTTTCCTTCCCTTCCCCTATGATCCTCTACCTTGTTTCTCAAATCCCTCATATCAGTGAGATCATATCATACTTGTCTTTCTCTGATTGACTTATTCAGCTTAGCATAACATCCTAGTTAGTTCCATCCACGTCGTTGCAAATGGCAAGATTTCATTTTTTTGATGGCTGCATAATGCCATTGTATATATATACCACTTCTTCTTTATCCATTAATCTGTTGATGGACATCGAGGCTCTTTCCATAGTTTGGCTATTGTGGACATTACTGCTATAAACATCGGGGTACACGTACCCCCTCAGATCCTTACAATGTATCTTTGGGGTAAATACCCAGTAGTGCAATTGCTGGGTTGTAGGGTAGCTCTATTTTCAAATTTTGAGGAACCTCCATACTGTTTTCCAGAGAGGCTGCACCAGCTTGCATTCCCACCAACAGTATAGGAGTGTTCCCCTTTCTCTGCATCCTTGCCAACATCTATTGTTTCCTGACTTGTTAATTTTAGTCATTCTGACTGGTGTGAGGTGGTATCTCATTGAGGTTTTGATTTGGATTTCCTTGATGCCCAGTATTGTTGAACACTTTTTCATGTGTCTGTTGATCATTTGGATGTCTTCTGTGGAAAAATGTCTGTTCATGTCTTCTGCCCATTTCTTGATTGGATTATTTGTTCTTTGGGTGTTGAGTTTGGTAAGTTCTTTATAGATTTTGGATACTAGCCCTTTATCTGTAATGTCATTTGCAAATATCTTCTCCCATTCTGTGAGATGTCTTTTGGTTTTGTTGACTGTTTCCTTTGCCGTGCAAAAGCTTTTTATCTTGATGACATACCAATAGTTCATTTTTGCCCTTGCTTCCCTTGCCTTTGGCGATGTGTCTAGCAAGAAGCTGCTGCGGATAGGTCGAAGAGGTTGCTGCCTGTGTTCTCAAGGATTTTGATGGATTCCTGTCTCACACTTAGGTCTTTCAACCATTTGGAGTCTATTTTTGTGTGTGGTGTAAGGAAATGGTCCAGTTTCCTTCTTCTGCATGTGGCTGTCCAATTTCCCCTACACCATTTGTTGAAGAGACTGTCTTTTTTCCATTGGAAATTCTTTCCTGCTTTGTTGAAGATTAGTTGACCATAGAGTTGAGGGTCCATTTCTGGGCTCTCTATTCTGTTCCACTGATCTTTGTGTCTGTTTTTGTGCCAGTACCATACTGTCTTGATGATTACAGCTTTGTAATAGAGCTGGAAGTCCAGAATTGTGATGCCGCCAGCTTTGCTTTTCTTTTTCAACATTCCTCTGGCTATTTGGGGTCTTTTCTG